TTGAATTGAAAATGATATTTCTAGAATAAATGTACCCCTTTGAGTTAGCTTTTCCTATATACTTTGAATCGCCTCAATTGGATATCGAAAAAGAAAAATATGACAAAATATTTACAGCTGCACAGAGATATAACCCGTGCACTTGAGACCTCATTTTGGCAATCTTGAGAGCAAATTCTTAATTTCTACCATGTGAAGGCAATGAAATGAACCATGTGCACGCATGGTACAAACTGTGACCACAGAGAGTTTCTTCTACTATCAAAACTATGTATGAAAACCAATTTTGATGGAATCTTGACCTACAATCAAATGTGGTTGAAAGAGACAACACTTCTGAAGGGATACAAAAGATTAATCTTTCAGCTGTTGTTTTTAAATGTAACAATGTTGAAAATTCAAAGGAATAGTGGGTTGATACTGGTACTACCCGTCTCAATTGTGCAGACAAGACTATGTTCTCTAACTGCAAAGAGCTAAAGAGAGAATAACTTTTCGTGGAAAATTCTGCAAGGTCTAATGTTGAAAGACAAGTGAAACTTACTTTGAAGATGACATCTAGTAAAGAGTTGATCCCCAACAATGTCCTACATGTACGTAAGAATCTTGTATCCGGATCTCTACTTTGCAAAAAATGACTTTAAAGCTTATACTTGTATTCGATAAATTTGTACTCACTAAGAAGAGATGTATATTGGTAAAGGAAACCTATGTGATAAAATGTTCAAAATGAACATTTTTACAATTGTATCGAAACAAAGTATTATGAATAAAACATTGAATCCCACTTATATGCTTTAGTTGTCTAGTTTATGGTATAGTCGATTAGAACACGTCAATTACAAATCTATGTGTAAACTTATAATCAAAGTTTAATTCTGACGCTTAAGGTTGATTCTAATTATAAGTGCGAAGTATGTGTTAAAGCAAAGTTGGTCAAAACACATTTTCTCTCAATCCAAATGAACATCACACATTTACAGTTAATACATAGAGATATATGTGACTTGAAATTTATTCAAACTAAAAGTGGTAAGAAATACTTTATAACTTTTGTTGATAATTGTACAAAATATTGTTATATCTTTCTACTGTGAAATAAAGACGAAGCCTTAGATGTCTTTAAACATTATAAGACAGAAGTTGAAAATCAACTTGGTAAACAAATAAAAAATATTCGTAGTGATAGATGTGGAGAAGACAAGGCACCGTTTGAAGAATATTGTTCCGAGTATGGAATCATTCATCAAACAATGGCACCTTACTCTCCCCAATCAAATAGTATTATTGAACGCAAAAATCGAACTCTTAANTGTTGAACGTAAAAATAGAACTCTTAAATAGATGATGAACTCAATGTTGATAAGTTCGGGTCTACCTCCGAACTTGTAGACGGAAGCTATATTATTGGAAAATAGCATTCTTAACAAGATAACTAATAAAAAAATGGAAGAAACTCCATATGAACTATGAAAATGTCATCATCCTCCTTACCAATACTTGAAAGTGTGTGGATATTTGGATAAATTTGACATACCTAAGCCTAAACAAGTGAAGATCGGTCCTAATACGATTGATTGTATATTTATTGGGTACACCAATAATAGTAGTGCATATCGTTTTCTAGTACATAAATCTGAAATTTAATATGTACATGAAAGAACAATAATTGAATCAAGAAATGCATCTTTTTTTAGAATATTTTTCCATATAAAAATAAGGAAAGTGTAGGTTCAAATAAAAAAATCTTATGATACTATAAATGACACTTCAAATGAGGAAGAACTAAGGCATTGTAAAAGGGTTAGAATATCTATTTCATTTGGCCAAGATTTTATAACCTATATGGTAGAAAATGAACTAAAGACTTTCGATGAAGCAACGTCTATAACGGAAGCACCGCATTGGAAAGAAGCTACCAATAGTGAGATAAATTCTATAATGACAAGCCATACTTGAGAGTTAGTTGATTTACCTCTTGGGAACAAACCTTTAGAGTGTAAATGGATTTTCAAAAGGAAACTTAAATCGGATGGATCCATTGACAAATATAAGACTAGATTGATTGCCAATGGATATAGATAAAAATAATGACTTGACTTCTTTGGTAACTACTTATCCATAGCTAGAATCACCTCGATAAAGTTTTTAATTGCTATTGAGGCATTACATAACCTTGAGATTTATCAAATGGATTAAAAGACCACTACGCCAAAAAAGGCCTTTTGCAATGGCCAAAAAAGGCTGCAAAAGACCTTTTGCAACGTTTTAGCATGTATTGCAAAGTTCAATGTTGCCAAAGAGGGAAGAGATACGGCAACGTTTTTTAAACGTTGCGAAAGAGTCTTTAGCAACGTTTTTTAAACGTTGCAAAAGAGTCTTTAGCAACGTTTTTTAAACGTTGCGAAAGAGTCTACAGCATCGTTTTTTAAACGTTGTTGTAGACTCTTTCGCAACGTTTAAAAAACGTTGCCGTAGACCCCTATTTTTTTTTTTCTTTTTTTACAGTTATGGTAATTGATCAAGAAAATTAAAAATAACACTTTGTGAACATTTTTTGGAATTGCATAAAAATTGATAATTTTATTATAAATTTTTGAATCAATACAAAATTCGAATGTGATACAACACAACCTATCGAAAAAGGAGTAAGATAAACAATACAATTGTTTCATCCATCA